GTGCGTGTGTGTGTGTGTGTGTGTGATTATGCGTGCTCGACGGCCTTCCTACGTCACCGCTTGGATGAAGATCCGTAACAGTGCTTGTTCGCGCCGAATTCGAGTCAGTGCGGTATTTCCGCTGCTGCTGCTGCTGCCACTGCTGCCACCACTCACGTCCGACGTCGTCGTCCCTTAACCCTTTTTAGACACTGTCAGGTTCTTCAACACATCACCATCGAACCAGAAATGATCGGGCGCGAGATGGGAATGTGCGACGTGACGCGCCACGATGTTAGGCGAGCTGAAGAGAAACGAGGCGAGGCGAGGCGAGGCGAAGCACGAAATCGACGCTCACGCACACCGGGAGACGAAGCTCCGTGCCGGAGCAATGGTTCGACGACGGCGGGTTCGCAGGAAGCGAATCGACTGCACTCGCGTGCGACTGTCGACGGCGATGAACCAACTGAGAATTCCGACGGGAGCTGTTCTGCGTGCCGAAAGAGCGCGCGTGAGCGAGAGAAACGTAGAAGAGCGTGGCAGCGGCGGGGGAGAGCGAGAGGGAAAGACAGAGAGAAAGAAAGAGAGAGAGAGAGAGAGAGAGAGGTGAGAGAGAGAGAGAGAGAGAGGAAGAGAGAGAGAGAGATAGGCGCTCGAAGCAACGGAAAGAGGGAGCAGACCACGTGGTCAAACTCTGTGTTTACAAGCCGTGCCGTCCGGGGGTCACGTGGCCATGTTTTGATAGGAAGTTGGCCCGCCACGGGTAGATGTACGCTCTACGTCGTCGCCGTTGACGATGGCTGCTCGGGCTGCACGTTATCGCGACGTGATTCACGTGGCCGAGAGTCCTCTCCTTCTTCCGTACGGTCGGCGACGGGATTTTCGGTAGAGACCGCCGACAGCGCGAGACCGACAATGGCGATGATGACCTTTGGTGCTCTCGTTGCCCTTGGAAGACCGTTCCCCCTGATATCTCTCATCGATATCCCCTCGAATCCTCCACGCGCTGTCGCTCCGCGCGCGCGAGTACTCCTCTCGCGATCTTGCGCAGTCTCTCCTTGACTTTTGCAAATTTCTGCAAACGTGCGAATGACGTGCGTAAGCTGTCGTTCGGTTGAGTGATAATTCCCCTCGATTGAAGAGTGCGACAGATTTGCGAGCGCGCGAATGCTATTTTGCCAAGCTCGCGCTTGGTGACGAAACCTCGCGAGAAACGACGTGAGATTTTCTCTCGCACGTATCGTCTGAGGAAAGAATACCTATCCACTACGTAGAACTTGCCGGCAAGGCAGCGCGGCGCATACTGGCGAAATTCCTCCGGCCGGCGGCCGGCGCTCGGATTGCTCGGAACCGACCGAGCGGACCCGAAGTTACGAGGAGCGAATTCGCGACGCCTGTCGCCGCGCTTCGGCGCGCCGATCGTCCGACGAACGGCGAGGCACGTGAGAGCGAAAGAGAGAGGGAGTGAGCAGGGAGAGGAACGAGGAAGAGATGATCGTCGAGAGCCGAGAGCCGAGAGTATCCTCGGCAAACAGTAGGGAGATGTATGCGGAGAGTATCGTAGAGTAGCGTAGCTGGTGGGTGTCTCGGCTGCCTCGGGTAGGGGTAAGAAAGTCAGAGTGGGAGACGGACGATAGTGGGGGGATAAAGAGAAGGACGAATAGGAGCGAGAGAGACGGCTATAAATTGCAACTTTGTGCTACGTAAAAAGGAGTGGGAGACGAACGAGGGAAAAGGACAGAGTATCGTGCCGCGACTCCAAGGTGGGAAAAGGACGAAAGAACGCGACTGAGGAAACGAGGGAGCTGAGGAGGGGGAGTACAGCGTGCTCGTACTGCTCGTCTACCGGGTGGGCGGGAAAAGGGGTATACTCTGTGTGCCCCTAGGGTTAAGCATCGCACTGCGCACAGAATCCGCGGGGAGGGAATTTGCACGCGGTGCATCTCCTCTCTTTCTCTCTCTCTCTCTCTCTCTCTCTCTCTCTCTCTCTCTTTCTCTCTCGCTTTCTTTTCCTTCGTCTCCCCCGTCCATCCTGTCCTATCTCTCTTTTCTCAACCTCGTATCTCCTCCCGCCATTCCGCCGCGATAGTCCTACGTTCTTTCGACTCGATTTTGCGGCAACCCTTCCGGTACTTTTTCGTATCGCTCTGCTCTGCGACTTGTAGAATCCAAAGATTCCCAACGGCCGATCGAAATAACTCGGCCTGTTGTTTTCGGTCTGCGTGCCTATCGAATGGTACAGCGTCCTCCGAAAGCCATGAAACATTCCTGAATATGTTCGCGAACATTGTTGTATCGCAACGGCGCGGCGGCCGGATGTGAATTCTTCGTCCAAGCATTTGGCGAAAAAAATTCAAGTATAGTTCGGTTTTTTTTTACGCCGCCTTTCGTATAAAATCTTGAATAATCGTTTGCACGGCAGAAAAATATTTTTTTCACGCTGCCTTTTATACTTCGAATGACGTACATTAAAAAATTAACACTAAACGCTAAGTAAAAGCTCAATAAATTATAATTGGAAATAATACAGTATGTATAAAAGGGGCAATGAGCTTAACACGCAGCTGCGCTGATAGTGCAACTAGGTTGCTTACTTTCAAATATACAATATACAACGATTCTCTAAACGTTTCGGTTCTCAAAACCATCCTCAGGACAAAAACCTTACGATAACATAATTTTCATCTTCGTCATTTATTGGGACGTTGTTTTATGATCCTTCGAACTCTTCTTCAATTGAAAAATTAACATCTTATTTCAAACATCAATTATTTACTCCGAGGTGGTAATCCTTGGTCATTGTAAATTGGATGTAAAACAGTTTCTTAATGCGGACTTAAAGAATGTGTATGATATTTTTATAAACAAGTTGATAGGTCGACAGAAACATTGAGACTAAAAAAGAAACAGATTTTTAGATACGGGATCTTTTATGTTCAAAATCAGGAATGATATCATGTAAGCGATAAAATCTTCCAGTTAATGTTCATAATTCAACTGAATCGAAACGTTCATCTAAATAAATTTGAATCTCAAAAAACTTTACAAAGAATTTCAGATATTTCCATAATTATCGTATAATCAGGGCTTTTAAAAAGAGATAAAATGTATTTAAAATTATCATTAACGGTTTAAATGGATTCTAAAGTGATAGCATCTTCTTAAAACGTCATAGAATCCCTTTAAAATGTGGGTGATAATGTTAATGGTTTTACGTCTCTTTCTTTCCAAAATCCTGCTTGGAAAGTATATACACGGAAGATGATTAAGCCGTACACGAGTCCAGAGTATTGTTAGCTACAATCTTTTCCAACTGCGTAGTTATTTTCGAGACGTAGTCCGTCCGACGAGATCACATCCCAAAGTATTCAAAGGAACTGTGTGTTTACCTGTCCCAAACCCGTATCAAAGATACCGTCAATTATAACAAATACACTTTCTGACAACAGATTCTTCGGTACTTTTTATGCGCTCTTAATTATTCGCCAGTGCCGCTCGATGTTGTTGAGCCGATCGAATAACTCCGAAACCCTCCTCCGTCCTTCAATTCGGCCATTGTCCGAGGCCTGTTGACATAAATCCCACGCGCTGAAGATATCCCCCATCCAGAAAAAGAAGTCGGCAGTGTTGCTGAAAGGGCAGGTAAATCCGGCCATTGCAACCCGGCTGAAACAAGAAACGACGGCGCGCGCTTGGTGGTGGCCGAACACGTACACGCGAGTGTATATCCGTGTCGTCCTGTGCGGGCAGCCCCGGCTAACTTAAGGGGTACTGTCACCAATGTGTAATTATGCACTCTGAACCTTCGATTGTCCGGCGGATATCCCCGATGCGCCCATTGCTCAATGTTGTTTGCGCGCGAGCTAAAAACAGCACGCCGTAGCTCACCGCGTTCGTGTACATACAACCGCGCGACATGCCGCCTGGCTATAAATAGAAGATGAATGGATTCTTAAGGACTAACCTGATCGAGTAATTGTACAAACAATTTCGAGTACTGCAACTAACTGTATAGCATAATTGTAAATTATCCTCGTATATAATGGGCTGCGTTAGTTTAAGCTCATTTACTTTACACCGGCAATAAATTGCTGCAATCCTCTCCCCCCCTCCCCCTTCCCTCCCCTCGCCCCCCCCCCTCGCTGTTTATTAATCCGGAAAAGGACCGAGACTGCTGGTATAATGCGTACAGTATTTACCTACGTAAAGAAAATATAATTGCAGGCGGTACGCGCGAAAATCCAATGGAAAAACTCAAACGTGTTGACACGTAATCAATTTCGAATTTTTTTTCTAAATTCCAGAAAAATATACACTTGGTATAAACGCGATAATACAGTAATAAAATCTCTACGTTCGTCAATTTTTACGCCTACTCTATTCGAATTTTTGAAATTCCAAGTGTAATATACATATATTTTCTACTCAATTATTTCTTCCTTTGGCTGCCATAAATGCTTAAGCGTATCATTCATCCGAGAGAGTCATCTACTATTTTTTGTACCAGAATTAAAAAGATATGTGGCATAACGAAACGTTCGAAATTTTTTTCAACGTTCCTAGATTTTGATTTCGACTGTACCCTTTTATGGGATCCCTTCAATTCATACCAATCCCTAAGCATGTATCTCTTTCGCGCAGAGTTGAGATACGTGCTGGATAATAAACAACGGAAAACACGATTTTAGCATCTTTAAGTAGTCCGTAACCCCTAATCATTTTCAAGTACGATCCCGATTAAATCTATCCAAAAAAGTACATGAGAAACGTACAAGCTGTTTACTTCGAGGACATATAACTTGGACTTTTAAGTCTTTTTCAATCTGCTGGCATGTGTAATCTTATCATATACCTACTTTTAAATTTATTTGAATGAACATCAGGCACAGACAATTAATTCTGAGTTTCGTACATGCTGTATGTTGTGTATTTCACAGGACAAGAAAACCAATATATAGTAGCGTTGAAACAGTACGTTTCAACAATTTGAGACGAAGAATATAATGAAATAATGAATTATAACAAATTTTACTTGAAAAAAAAACAGTAAGCATTTTAAAAAATAGGCTCTCCAATGGTTAAGCAACGGCACTGATATATTACACAGATTTCTATATTTTCTGCAGATTCACGTTTGCAGAACTTTTAACGCCGAGGGTGTCCGTCTGGTTTTCATATCAACATTAACCCACGTCATACGGTACGCGAATATATAAATTAAACTCAGAATTCTGGCGTCGAATGTGCAGTATCGTCAGCAGTGTGGATACGAATTACTGCGTTTCGAAAAGTAATTTGAATGCTTTTCAAAATGTAAGATACGTTAATGTTATGATATCACTCTGTTATTTCGATTGCAATAATACCATTTGAGATTCCATAAAATAAAGGTTGCGGCATATTTCACGGGCGATCGTTTTTTCCCGAAAAGTGGATCCTTCGGGGGGGCGAAAAGAGTCATTCCGAGGCCCTAAGTGCGAGACTTTATCGTGTGAAATTGCACATACGGAGAAAATTAAGGCCAAGTGAAAGAAAGCGCTAGCTGCCGGTAACTCGCAACCATTAGATTCTTCCAAAGAGAAGGGTAGGAGGATGAAGGGGTGGGGGGACAGAGAGGAAAGGATAAGTTCGGACTATCAATTACATCAACCCAATTCCGGAGCTTACTTTACGCCGAATCGAATCCGACCAGCCTGCTAAATTTGTTACGTTAACGAGCGTTGCACTCGTCGAGTTTCTACCGCCGCTGTGTGTAACTTTTTGTTTAGTTGGCTATGAAAATAAACGCGAATTACGACGTTCGTTAACTCGATCGGCGGCTATCACGGGTCGATAGTTCGCGTATGCAGCGCGCATCTCGCGTTGGCTAAGTTAGGATAGTGCAGTCGTCTATGAAGTTTCCATGAGAATGAACGTGTAATTGGATCGTGTATATTTATTTATGTAGTAAATATATTCTATAATCAATATCAATAATTAATAATTAAAATATGAAGAGTTACACGACTCTTTTCAATTATTTTACTTTTATAGATGTATTACAGGTCTGAAATGCAATATTATTATAACTGTTGACGAGAGAAATTTAGTTTAATTTAAAATGTGCATCATGAAGAATGTTAATTGAACGTTTAACTACACGTCTCGTTTTAAAGTCTTAATTTACACGTCCGAGTCAACCAAGTCACTCGCAGCGTTTTTTGACTGACTCTATAATTACTACAAATTTCAATGGAAAATATTTTTTTTTCTAACGAAATGCCAGAATGTATAGAATCGAAATATCAAA